ATGGTATTACCATCATTACCTAGTGACCTATTCCTATAGCAGCCATCTACAGCAGGTTATGAGCCATCCATATTATAACAACTTCACTTTTCTTGCCAACGAGTCTAACACAATTAAGAGCATCGGCCAGGATGACTACTTTGTCGATGACGCAATATTATACATGACTCAATAAAATACATTCAACCATTACCATATCTTATATATTATACGAGCAGGTTATAGGAACGCCTCCGTAATACGTGTCGAACGCTTGTGTATTGTCATTCAATACATAACATCACCTATGCACAAGAATATTGACGCAACTCAAAAAACATAATTTAGTTAACACCAAAAATTCATTATATTTTTTTTTTTTTTTTTGAGTTGTGTCACTATTCTTGTGCATGACCGTTTTATTATACTCAATGAAAATACTTTTTACTCAACGGTATTTATAAATTATAGTTATGCTACCTACAAGTATACAGTTGGCCGTCTAGCGCGAAGAACATAAGTCAGGCATTCTCATGTGTAATCTTAGGGACCAAATTATGGACGTCAAGTCTTCGTGGGAGCAATTTGGAGAAGCAGCTGAACAGCTGTGTCTTGACGTAAGATTATAGATACAGTAAGTAATATTTGACAACGGCAAGCCCACACCTGTTATATTGTGTTCGTTTTCAATATTTATAATTAAACCCGACCAGGCCGAGAATAATATAAAAGTGATTTGTTCAGGAAGACGTGCCAAAACGAATAGCGGCGCATCAGGCAGATATAATTTTGCACTTATTAATAATAACGGTAAAATGATAACGGAGAAAACGCGAAAACGAGAGGGAAGCTCAAATAATAACAAATTTTGAAGGGATGAATAATTAAACGAAAATACGTCTTGGTACATTTCGATGTTTCCAGTTTAGAAACTCACGTTTAAAAACCCACGAAACAATGCTAATTTGAGGGCGTACAGCTAAAACGCGATTTTAAATTGTTCAACGCAGTATGATAGCTTCATTAGTCTCGACTAACTCAGAAAATCTGAACTAGCTCTTTAATAAATGCATGCTATCAAAGAGCAAGGCGAATAATAATAATATAAAATATTTAAATAAACCCTTAACCACATAACAATACTCTAAAGTGTACATACGTATTTTGGCAGCAATATTACCATCTTCAAAAATACGTATAGGAACGCTTTAGAGTATTATTTTTGTGGTTAAGGGTTTATTAAGTATTTTGTAATATATTATCACAAGTGTTGTGTAATTTTTTTCTAGCGAATAATAATGTGCAAATGTTTATGGTTTATACCAAGCATTTCAAACCGATAATGGAATACAATGATAAAATGTGAGCCTTTTCGTATAAAATAACAATGTTGTGGCATTTAATTCTTTGAACTCGTGGAAGGCATTGTATGAGTAAAATAGAAATCAATAGCTTTTGCGGTTTACCTCTGAAGACAAATCGATTGTCTAATTATGCACTAAAACATATTTATATAATATAATATACGTGTGGTAGTGTTATAGTTTTAAAATATCGATAGAAATGTGAATGTTTTGCGTATAACAATACACAGGTATTATACAACCGCATAAATAATAGTGATTGCCATATTTCACCAACTAGATTGAAAAAACTCCACCTAAATTTTAATCAAATGTGTGCATTTGATGACCACAAAAAAAACTACGCCATTATAATATAACGAACATAGTTTGTTTTAAATTTCCATAGTACAAATAATATTGCAGTATAGATATTTATTTCATTCTGTGCTCGCGTTACCACATGGTTATGAGATATGTGACGTTAACATGTGGTAACGTAAGGATCGATAGAAGTCAACATTTGAACAAAATAAACCTTCGGACATAAAGGTTTATTCGTGATAGCATGTGTGATGTGACTAACCCAGCAAAGTAGAATAATTACAATAATTATGTAACAATAAGGAAAAGGCGTTGTAAGAATTATTTTTACCATGGTGCTCGTGTTAAAATAGTAATAAATAGATATAAAATCATAAAATACTTACAAGCATTCCAGAATCGAATGCAATACATTTAATTTAAACCTATTATAATAAAATTGTATAGTTATAACAGATACTATAATATATTATTTTTACTAATTTATAATAATAATATTTTTCAAGAATAATTATTATTCGTAAAATATATAATATATTATAATATAATATATATGTATATACAATATATTATAATATTTTTTTGTACCTACATTTTGTATAAAATATCCCTTGATTACCTCCAAATTTTGTTACCTATTGATCTAAGTTTTAGGGCAACGGGTGTCATCAGATGCAGATGAAGTCTAAAGGTTTAAAATCGCTTTTCTTAAAAGCGCATTTTAAAATGTGGCAAGTGGTGCTTTCGGTTTTTTAAAAACGAATCCACTGAATCAATTCAAACTTTTGCCATTTAGCTTGTAACTCATATATTTTTAAATCCTTCGTCCTATCCTTGCTTTTATGTGTCTTAATATTATATACTTTTTTAAAACAAGATTTACATAGTATGAATTGAATTGGTCGATTTGTATTTGAAATATTGTGGTCAGCACAAAACAAATCAATTTGAAAAAACTCCGGGAAAATGACTAATGCCAATAATTCTACGTCATTAAATCAAATATTTAGTATACAAATTTACATAATACTCAATGAAATAACATACACTACAGTATTGAATGACATGAATTAAAAAAACAAAATCTGAAACTACTTGATTTTGCTTATTTTAACTAAGGCTCTTTAGTACAAGAACCAAAAAGTAAACATTTTATTATATTTTAAAACGGGTAAACTTTTCAAAACGATACACCAGTGTGTTTTAATTCTTGTAAAATTAAAATTTTAATGGATAGAAATAGAAGGTTGATAACATTTATTTAAACCTACAAAAACGCCATCTAAAATAGTATAATAAGTCCAGAGACTTGAGCTAGCATAAAAAAAAATATTGTTGCAATGGTTATCTGTTGGCTATTGTAATCGGTTAGATTCGTTAAATAGAGAAAGCGGAACTATTGATAATTTTTATACGGTATTTCAAACAGTGTATATCATAATATATATAAATTATTTTCTAATATTTCTACGTTATTCGTTATACGAGTATATTACACGGACTCCGAAATATTTACCTACTCCATTTTTCTAGTTTATAAATAATATTAATGTTAACGACACGCAATTGTTTGAGTAGTATAAAAGTAGTAATATACTCGAAGGTAAAATAATAGCCAACAATTTCAGATTTGTAACAAAACGTGTACGAGAATATCGAGGGGAGTTGAACAATAATCGTGTGATGATTTCAATAGACATGCCTCAAAGACCTATTGTTATTTGTTAGTTTCAATCTGTCTTGCTTCTGCACGACACGGTCACATATTACCGATTTTCTAAAACTACGTATAATCACCATTATAGTAAAAATATAAATTTCAGAAAAATGACTGCTATTACACAAGTCGGATATTTTACTATAAACATAGATAATATTTTGATCGTTAAAATCACGGAAACGGATAGTTCGTAATAAAGAAATAGGGAGCCTGACATGTAATAAATAATTGATTAAATACCGATAATCGGTTGAAAATTCAAGATTATAGGCTTCAATGGACCGTAATTAATAGTTTTTTATGCAAGCAGTAAACAATGACTCACTCTATTTAGAATAGACAAATCTTGCGGAACAATGGAATAGACTATTGTGCGATTTAAAATAACCACAATACTATCGGATAAAGATAACACTACAGACGGCTAATTTTATAATTGTTAATCCAATAAATACAATTTATCTGTTCGCCGAAACTTATTCGCCATATATTGCGACACCGCGGTCCACAACAAGATTACTGAGATTAGTCGGTGTATTGGGTTAAGTCCAAAATGCAGACGTTGTCTAAAAGTTTGTGTTAGTTTTGTGTGTGTTGGCATTTTGATGGGGTTGTTTGGCTGCTGCGCAACGGCTTTTGTCTCCAGCTGGCCAAAACAGCTCAGTAGCAAGTCTCTACACCACAGGAAGGACACCTGCAGGAAACACAAGTCACGCTTGGTTTATTTGCACGAGTTTCCATCTCACATCAGTATAATTAATATCATCATATAGTTGTACTCGATATCAGCCATAGCGAAAACACATTTTATAAAACTCTCTACGTTCAGCTAAAAACGATTTACCATTTGTTTATTAGTAATACGTTGTGTATTTTTAAGTTTGTAGGCGTGTAAAAGCGAATAGAATACGACCACGAATCAGCTTTAAACAATAACAAACCAAGCACATAGACGTCGTTATAGACTGTCAAATTCCAAATCAAATATCAATATTGTCGACAAAAATGTTTTACCAATCACTTATTTCGAAACTAATGTTAAACTTTGTAAATACCAAACGTTTGGCGACATTACAATAGACTAGTCTCACTGCCCATTAAGACAAATGCGTTATAACTTTCCCATTGTGTTTTTAACATTGCTATTCGAGTACGACCTATGCTCAGAAACTTGTCATCCTAGACATCTAAATATACACGAACAAGAGCTTATCGCAAGCACTAGCTTAAACCGTATGGCCCCTAGTTTTTAAAATCATGGTCATCAATTAATATAAAGTGTTACATTAGTGTTATACTCGGGGAATACTATTAACCACTACGACTACGCGTAAATTCGAAGGGAAAATAGTTGACAATTATTATTATTTATTTATCTAATATCGGTATTTTTTATAATCGAATCCTACCGGAGCGGTATTACAACGATAACAGCCGCTGATAAGGTTCCTAGGGAACGAAAACGGATTCGTAACTGGCCTCGCGACACTAATTATTACCGTTTACACGTTGAAACCACCTACACGTGCGTAGATGATAACATAACATAGGCTATCATATTATTATTATTATTATCATACGATAACATAACGTCATACTTTGTTTCGACATGATAATATTATTATTGCACTTACCTAATGAATTCCGTCGACGAGGAGCAACGACGCATCAACGGCGGATTCCAAACGATAATATCTTATTGGGGGTTTCTTCTATCATCGAAGCGCCGAATACGGTGATTTTTTTTTATGTTGTTTTTTTTCTGACGGAATTCGTCACTCGAAAACACACGGTATTGCTCACGATAATAGTAATAATTATTAAGCCACAGGACACGCGATAAAGAGCTACTACGGCTGCTGTACAAACACGGTAACAACGCTGCGAACACGGTGCAACGCACAACACAACAACAAACCGATCATCTGCTCTCCGTCGGTACCGGTTTGTCCGTCACCGATGCATGCTGAGGAGGCGGTGGCGGCGGAAGGGGATCAAATATCGGTTTGTCCCCCCACCGGGAGAACGCGTGGTCGTAGCGACGGCAGTGGACAACGCAGATACTACTCCACGAGGATAACAGCTACGAGTACTGGAGCTGGTTTATTAAAATAATAAATAATACAATAATTGTTTACGAACGGTAGTAATAGGCTTTTGTTTTTTATTTGTTGTGTATCGTTATCGATTGTGACGAAAACTATTCACGTTCGCTCATATATAATATGTAGTTCAGGAAACAGACAACGCCTATTGGTAATGACAACATTAACGCTCGGCTATGGTTTTTTATTTCCATCTCAAACGCACCGCCGCCGCCGCCTCCGACAGTCGCCGGTATTTGTAAAATATAATCCGAGCTTTTACGGTAGTCTTTATTTTAACTTAAGTCGATTATAAAATTGGAACTCCAGTGGTGAAAAGCCTACGAAATTTGAATTCGGTTGGTTGACCCGCGCCGCTCAGCTGTTAAATTTTTATCTTTGATCTAATAACATAAATTCTGCATATTTACCTGGGCCGAGGCGTAACATTTTAGCATTAGGTAAACTACTTTTATAAAAACACTTTTAGCGGGCATATTCCCAAGGGTTTCATTGGATTCGGATGAATGATGTGATATTCGTAGTTTATAGTCAAACAACTTATTTGGGAAAAATAGAATTTCAAAATATTCATTTTACTATGCAACATGGAATTAAGAAATCCTCATTAATCATATAATGTTTACAACTCGGTGATTAATAATTAGTTATTATGTCAAAATGTAATGATTATTACTGATTATTAATTTTTTTTAAGTGATTAGTTTAACCATGATTATTCTGTTTTAATCGATTATGTACTAGAATCATAAAGTAATCAATTACGCTATACACTGATAAAAGTATTAGTATTATGTATTACTTTCAATTTTACTTTAATAATACAGTTTTTTTTTATTACAAATTAACAAAAGTTCAAAATTTCATTTCTGCAAGTTCAGGAAGGAAGGGAATGACTTGAGTGTCACAAGTGATGAGTGAATTAGAACATTTTCGACTAGGAAAAATGAATATTCACAGGTTGTACCGGGTATCTAGGTTAAGTTATTAGAATAAAAAATTATTCTTTATTCAGTGATAGGCGGGGTTATTCTTAACTTATATTTTGTATTCATTGGACATCTGATTTAACAATTTTGCACAACTCTGACGAGACGTATAAAACACATAGCAATTGTAATCATAATCGTTTATTCCGTTTTTGTTGGGAACATGTTTACATTTATCCATTTCAGCTAGCTCAGATTATTGTTGTGATTTGGTGGAACAATATTACCGCTACAGCTTGTTGCAAACCTAAAGCTAACTAAACTTTTCCTAATTTAAAGTTATGTAGAGAAATCAAATGACAACAATTCTAACCAGCAGTGGCTGAAAAATAGTTTTTAATAATAATACTACAAGTGTAAGGAAAAAGAGGTAGTTTTAAACAATTATATAATGAGAGACAAAATAAAACATATTAATAAACAAAAGTAAATAAGTTTTTTTTTATGTTCGGTTATTGGGTAATCGGCCTTCTTGTCGTTTCTAGTACCCTGTTGTCCCGGATACCCGGTATCCGGTTATGTACATACTTTTATAAATAATATATTTCCCGCCTGACAATCAAGAAGTCTATTCATTGGTACGTTCCCGGGAAAAGAATAAAACTTTAATTTATATATAGTATTTATAATGTATAAATTATGTTATTAGAATATGCATAATCAAAGATAAAACTTTAACCGCTGAGGGGCAAGAGTGATCCATTTCAAATTTTAAAAGATTATTTCACCACCGTTGGCAATTTTAGTTTTTTAATTTATTTATTTTATCTATGTATTATTCTTTGTTGAAAAACTGGTTTTTCAACGATATCAATAAAACTATATAGACTAGCTCAGTGCTAACGTTGCAAATTGCGGGACTCACAAACATTACTTGACATTAGTGTCCTTTTATAAACGGATTCTAATCTTTAAACTGAATAAAAGTATGAAGAACATTTTTTTCCATAGAAAAATTAGTTAAAACGTTATTATGAAGACCAAAATATTTGTTTATTTCCTGCGAGTTTTAAGCCCTAAATTGATCTTGGAATTACTTTTTATTATTGTTTTCCGAAATTATATTTAATATCATAACGCAAACATTATAAACTTTAACACCTTGTACAGTTATCCCCATAAAATGACTTTCTTTGAAGGATTTCTGATGTATTAATTAATTAGCTTTTTTTGTATTTATTAAATGTAATATTTATATTATTATGTATAAATAATAAAATTATGTTCTAAAAACAATACTTTGTGATTATGTGTTTATTAGCTTTAATTTTGTAATGCAATATTATTAAATCAAAAACATATTCTTCTGGTAAACTAGTTACTAGATAATTGAATCATCACACTTCGTGATACATCAAAATAATTCACCTTTTATAAATTTAAGAAGTTCAATTCCTTCTTGCTTTACAAAGTTGTCTTTCATCATTTGTTTAAATGTTGAATAATCCAGTTTGTCTCCTAAAATAAAAATACAATTTTATGGGTAATTTATTAACCGATCTAAATTAACATATTCCATTTAGTTATTGAGAATTTATTAACCATTTTATTGTTTAGTTTCCCGTTATCAGGTAATTACAATGTAAATAATATTCACCTATTGAAGAATGTGTTGGGAGATTATGCCACATGGTAGTTTTAACATGGAAAGATATAGGAAGTCGGTCACTCAATGTATCGAACGTAACGTAACCACTTTGTATTGAACCTTGTTCCTGCAAATTATTCCACAAACTCAGTATCACCTAAAAAATGTATCATATTATACTTTTATACTACTTTAATATTATATTTTTGATCGTTTAGTATAGATCATAATAAATAAAACTCAAACAATGCTGCATTGCAATTATATTAGGTAATTCTATTATCATTATTATTATTTAGGTTTCTAGACCAGCAGGCGCCTAGTTTCGAATGCCGTAAGACACAGCACGTACAATACAAATTAAAAATGTGCAGTACAAAGACAAATCAATGCTTAGCAATATTTATTAGGTATAGACAACATTTCTCCAGTTATATTCCCACTCGATGTGTAATTTGTATAAATCAAAACGCTATTAATAAATAATATGGAAGCTCCAAATTCCCAAACAGTTGACAAAAAAAAAAATTTAATATTCTAACTTGCTGTATAAAAAACTGAAAAAGAAAAATTCATTGTTCTGAGACCAGTTTCGAATTAAAAAAAAATGGAATGATAAACTCTCTTTGAAATTAATTAAAAAAAATGTTTTAAATAATTATTTCATTACAAACGGGGTTTTATTAACTTTCGAAGCTATTAAAAAACAACTAGACATGGTAGAGATGCGTTAAAATTCGGATTCACCAGAAAAATAAAATGGCATAAAGTATATGTTTTTTAGTTTTGACTACAAAAAAAAAAACATTTATTTTACTGTTTAATTGATAGTAATACAATATAAAAATGTTTTTTTTAAAACAAATATATCTTGTTCTTTGTACTTAAATACTTATAATTAATTTTCTAAAAAGTAAACAAGGTACTATTAAATATAAGTACAACAAAACGCTTTTTTACTGTAAACACAGACATGAAACCGCTTCATAGCGCTTTTAAAATTATAAATGTGTATTGTTTTAATTGCTAGTTACCGATGTATGTGTACAACTATAACGTCTTAAATTTCACAAAGTTAATATTTTTTAATACACATACAATCATGCAACCAAACATGCAAACATAGCACGAAGTATTTATAGCTTTAATATTCAGTTTTAATTCATCTTACAAAAACTTGTCATTTGGCTTATCATTAATTTTGCTTAATACTTAAATTGACATATTTTTAAAGCTTTATTCCATTTACTATATTCTTAAACCGTAAACTAACCGTTAACTTTTAAGGGAAAATACGACTAGTCTATAACGTCTTTTGAATAATTATTATTCTCGGAGTTTCCAGTATGGACGAGACTGTGCTTTTTCTTCACTCCGTAAAGTCCAACAGAGGTGGATAGGGTCCGTAGTTTGAAACTAAATTCTAGCTAGGGTGTTAGAACCAAGTGCCAAACTACTTCAGCTAAAAATACCCAGCGCAGTATGGACAAAGTGCATAAAAAATGTAGTTAATTTTATAGAGAAATTCCGATTGTAATCCTAACAGTTTCCGTATTAGATAATTGATAAAATAATAATTACGTTATCGTCAATCATCATTTCTTCTAAAATATCTAAGTATGTGCCGTCCGCCATTTCTGTTTCTTCTAAGCCTTTAGATTTGGCTAAAAAAAAAGAGTACGATAAACAAAACAAAATAATACAATTTAAAGACATTTTAGAATTCGTCAAGCGTTTTAACTACGATATATTTTTAAGATAATAGTTACTCTTATGTTATAATACAATAACTAAATTTAGTAGTGTACTAATAAAGCTGGTTTTATAGATAAATAAACACTAAAAAAGATATTTTATTATTTGTTTTTAAATGGAATCAGTCAGTTGTATATGATAAAAACATATCAAGGTTATTTTATTTTTACATGAAAAAAATCGTCTTCAAACCGTTTAAAAATATTTAGTGTGTTCAATAACACATTTTAAGTAAATTGTTAAGTATACTACTTACACTTCATCCAAATATGATTTATTGCCATTTTTCAGTATGTTGAATAATGTTAATATTGTTGTGTATCTTGAGGGGTTTGAAAGCGGACGAGTTTTAAGGAGTTTTATTATTAAGTCAATATTTAAGAAAAATATGCGGTTTTTTATGAATTTCAACCATGTAAATTTATTTACAGATTAATTTGTATAAGTCACAACTTGCAAAGTGTTATTTTTATCTTATACAATTTTTTCAGTGAGTAAACGCCATTTTGGTAGTATTTTAGACCAAAAAGCTAGACAAAATTTTGACTACTCATGGTGGTCCGATTTCAATTTTGTAAAGAGATTCGTGTTCTTTGACTAAACAATAAATAATAAACAATTCTGTTAATTGTAATTAAATAAATATATTTTTAATTTTTCCAAATTAAAAAACAATTTGTATGCATAGGAAAAAAAATCGTTTTCTACAAGCCTAGTAAAATCTCCCAAGAATTCATTTACCATCATAGAATTAAAATAGGATCATCTTAAATAGGCGTAATTTTGCCTATCTATTAGGTCTAAAACGTCTAAATACCAGACCGCTTTCACACATTCTGTGTACTTACATATTACTAAGATTATGCATAATATACATAATACTAAATTTGTAGAATTATCCTTTCCTCGCAAGGTTACTATTTGTGTAATTAGTTTTATTATTTATTGTTCTTATTATTATTTCATATTTTTTTCATGCAGATCTCATGATATGGGCAATGCTTTATGCTTAATTATTTAATTTGATATTTTTCGTTAATTTAAACATTATGAACAACACACGCTTAATTTAGTGAAACTATATTTATTCTTTTATTAGTTTAGTTTTTTATTATACACATTACCCATTTCATCTTGATAGGTGTACCGTGTGATGAAACAAAATATTAAATTTTTTATCTGTGCGTACTACTCCAACCGTATTCCCTTCCCCTAAGACCAAACACTCAAACAACATGCTTGTCTAAATGCATTGTTTTTTAAATAGTCAATACGTGCGTATGTATAAATATGGTCTGTCAACAGTCCAGTGGTTAAAATGTTATCGTGAATTTAATATCACAAACAAATATAATTCATCATTGTAACCCCAGTATCTTCTCGACTCAACGTTGAAAGTTCAAAAAAAAAAATTCAATATGTTTATCAAATTAACAACTTTTAGCTATGAGTCAGTGCTAAAATAAAACTTGCTAGTCATAATTTTAAATTAAAGTAACTTGTATAAATATGTATGTACAATATTATTGAAAACTCAACGCACAAATAAAACAGGCTTTCCTTTTGCACGAATGTGAGTACCTACTTCGGCGACAATGTTACCATCGTTGATCAGTCTGCTGTTTGCGCTAAGACGGCTACACAGTCGATGAAGAACGGGTATTCGTGTGAAAGTAAAGATTGTTTTTCTTTTGCGGTTTTGGGTTTTATTAACGTTTTACCCATTGACTTGACGGTTTATTGTTTAAGACGCATTTAACATTAATATTAGATCTTTATTGTCCTTGTTAATAATATAAAACTGGTTCGCCTAGTTAAAAAAGTCATTTTACGTTACGAAAAAATGTATTTAAAATGTGTTATTTTACTATTTTTAATATATCAATTCCCGTTAGCAAAGTCTGCTGGATCTGACGAAAAGCAAACTCCTGAAAAAGTAAATCTATTTTATCATCAATCTGATAACAATCAGTAGTTTTTAATAAATGAAGCTTTTGTGTGCACTTTAAAAATAATTATTTAGTTTAAAGTAATCCTTACCTCACCTCTCAATTTCGCTTTCTAGTTCGAAATCTTTATTTTTATATCTTAGCAACTACCATGTTGTAACTTTTTTTTAAATACTAAATTTAAATAAAAAATTATAAAAATAAAATAGCTAGTAACCTCAAACTAAAAAGAACGAAAAAAATTAGAAATAAAAAAGGGGTACTATAAAAGGTCATTAGTTTTTAATTAAAAAGCGAATTATTATAAAAAAAAAATTTCGTTAAGGTCTAAAATAAAATGAACAAATTTGAACTTTATTTAAAAAAACCACAAACCTTTTGTAATATCTATTAAGATATTACTATTATTATAAGAACTTAAATTTTAAAAATGTAATTTTGTTGACTAATAAATAGTATAAATGAATACTCAAACTAAAAATAAAAAGGAATATTAGCTGCTAAGTTATTTCAGCTTCTACTAAACAATTTTTTAGATGTCTTTGTAATGAACTTTAATGAAAACATTTCAGTTGATAAAGTATGTATGGGATAAAATAAGTAAAGAGGAGAAATTAATACGGTCAGGTTCTGTTTTGAACGATGTAATAACTAAACAAAGTACACTGCTTAAGGAAAAGTTTCTACAACTACCAATCATACCAGGTAATAACTAACAGTTTTACTTTTAAGTAACATTTAATAGCAGCTACATGTAATATATATATATATATATAATTTTTGAAGAATAATAGCTACACTGTACAAATTCAATTATTTAAAATAAATTCTGGAATTCTGTAAATTCTACGAAATTCGTAATTAACAACTGAATATAAAATAGGTACTTGATTTAATTACATTTCATGATTCTGTACTAAGTCGATTGTCGTAAAACATCATTGTTTCCGAAAGTATTTAAAATGTAATACAGTTTTATAGGCAGGTAATTGTGGAAGGACTGAATTGGCATACATAATGTTTTAATTATTTTTTTTTTCAATAATAATTGAAATAATGTAGTTAATCAATTAACAACCATTAATCCTAATATTAAAAGTATTGTACTTTATTTCAGCTATAGTAAACAGTGAACAGTTTAAGGAAATTATGGAAAACATTGGTTTGGAAGATTTAGAAAAAATCGTAAAACAAATTGAAGATAATGAAAACCAAAAAGTATGATATATAATATTCTTTCATGTAAAAACATTTATAGTTTATCCGACGATGAGTTTGATTCGTAAATATTATATTAAAAGTTATTTTTCAAATTAAACAAAATAAACTTTGTAGTTTTTATCTTGTTGGTTTATAGCAAGGTTGATAGGTACTTATATTATAACACCAAAAAACAATTTTCTTATTTATTGAAATATTTTTCATACTATTATTATAATTATCCAAAATAATATTATGTCTAACTTAAGCAAAAAATGAGTATTCAATGGTGGTAAATCTGAACGCCTGAATTACCATCCAATTTGTTTAGGTCTTAGCATTTCTGGAATAACATAAAACCAAAATGAGACATATGTATAGAAAATTCAAAAAAATTAGCCGATGTGTTAAAAAAATGGATACATCAGTTTTATTTGTGGTTTAAAAGTTCATCATTTTTACAAAACGCAAAAGTCCAAATAAATTTAAAATATCTTTTTTTTATATATTTTTATAAAATCTTTAAAATGTAGGTTACCTTGAAATAATAATTTGTGGAAAACATACACTTTATATTGATGGCGCCTTCACACCATATTTCAACGTTTTCCTAGAACACATCATTGTAAAAGTAATACCTTAAGAAATACTAAAACAATAGACCTACATACTAGGTACATATTTAATACTTATAAATAAAGTATATTGTGCAGCAAAATACAGAGGCCTGAGTCAAGGCGTTTTAAGAGGCCTCTACTCAAGCATTTATTAAGGCTCAACGTATAAGCAACATTTTCAATGAAACTTAACAAAGCTAAAATTTGTAAAGTAATCGCTACCATTAATATATAAATATATATTTTTTTAATTTCTCAAATACAGTTTGCATTACTTTTCAATTAGTATCACAATTAAGATATCTTATCGTGACATCATGCCCCTCCCTCCCTAATATGAAAGTATTCCTGTGATATTTTTTGTCATTATTGTACAATCGTAGTAATAAATCGGATGTTCCAATTTAAACTACATGTTCTTTAAATATAGTTATAAATTATTGCTACTGTAATTAATCCTTGTATCAAAAAAATATATACAAACATTATTAAATATTCGGAATGACTACCTCGCAATAATAATTGATGAGTAGTTGGAATTATAATATTTTGGTAAAAATAAAAATATTATTTCGGTTCTAATTAAATATTTAGTAACTCGACAAAACAATATAATATTATATACCTTACATACATAAAACAAATAATAAATAATTTAATACACAAAATAAAAATATATGATTCCAATATTTCAAACTTTTGTAGGACCGCTTACCCGACACAGTCTATTATTTGTTGTGAATTTTACTATGGCAGCAAAATATTGGTATTTTAACAGCTGGGTCACGAGTATCCAATTATGTATACAGTAGGTCATATACTAAAATTTTGCGAAACAAACTGCTGAAAAAACAAACACCATTTCGTACCTACGCTTTTTTAATACAACAATAATAATGCACATGTATACAACAAATGTGTACTCGTTTTAATTTTATATTATGGAATATATTTTTGAGGAAACTATATGCGGGCAAAGTCATTATGAGATTCCCTTACGCAATAAAATACATATTCTTAATTTTATTAGACCGCCAAAATTAATTAATCACAAAATTAAAACAATAAATACTTTTCCAGTGTACCTAGTACATAAAATCATCATGTGCTACATGCACGTCACCTACCGTTTTAACACGGTACGTACGAAACAGCAACGTTAGCAACAGTTTATATGATTTGAATTTTTTTATACACAGAAAAAAATGTTTAAGGTTTGTTCTATTTTGAGTAGGTTCTGGTTAAGATTAATAAAACTTTTGTCATAATTTGTAGACATTACTTGTCAAGTAAAATTGTCCATGATTAGGTACTACATAAACAAACAAAAACATCTATAACCCCACACCAGATCCATCTTCATTCTAAATTTCAAACCTTAAGTCTTAAAAGTTAGCCGGAAAAAGAGAAATAAAGAAAAAGTTTCTACCCCTTCTAGGGGAAAAGGTTTTTGATATTTTTTTTATTTTTCAAAGTATATAGATAGCACTTTATTTGAAGAATATTCTGAACAATTTCGGTTATTTTTAAAAAAGTTATTGCGCGCCGTAATTTTAAGTTGAGAATTATGTACATTTTTCAGGTGTTTTTCTCGATTTTTGAAAGGAAAGCGGTAAACTTTTACAATTTTTGGTCCATTGAAGTACCTTTTAGGTACGATTACTGATCTGTAGAGTAGCTATAAAGAATTCAGTTCAGGGGTTGAGAAGATATCGTCGGGCCACATAAAAAAAACACAACATTGTAAAAATAATAATTTATTAGCTACGAAAAATGCTCGTTATCCTACCGGCATTATAAATGGGAAGTTAATAAGGCTACTCCAGGTACGCCGAATGTCCAATGTTGGGAAGTACCCAATCATGTATGGGGTAGCTTACTGGATTTCTATTTAATACCGGGAAGGAAACAGGAACTTCCCGTTTATTTCCGGTTTTTCCAAAAAGTAAACCAAAACAATATGTCGAACAATGCTAACAGATTTTTTAGTGTAAATAATATTATTTCAAAATTGTGTTGAATTACATTTCAATAACACGCAACACGGGTAATTTAGTGTATGGCTCGATAGCTACTGTAATTACTAATTAGTATCCATTGATATATGTTACAGCCAAATTCATGCTACTATAATAAAGCCAAAAAGAAAAAAACGTGGGCAGATATTTTTTAATACCTACTTAAAGCACACGGTTTTGTTAATATATATTTTTTTAATTTAAAAGGTAATATAATATTAGATTATTGCAATTAGTTTGATTAACCTGTTTCTACACAGTATTTTTACGGTTCAACATTATTTTTAACACAAAAGTATTTCGGTTTTGCCATAGTTAGAATTTACAATTACAGGCAAGAGAATGCAGTCTTTTTGGATATTGCGGTCAGTCAGTGTTCGTCTTGCAGCACTAAGAAGTTGAAAACCTAATGACGAGTTCCCATTCTCTGTTCAACTTCCCGGTGCTATTAGAGTACCCTTTGGGCTTTGATATCTTCATCTATGACTGGACTCGCTGGACTTTCCACAATATACTCAAAAGTATTAGTGAAACATCTCGTTATTAAATATCGTTAAAACCTTGAGAATTTCCAGATTGGTTTTCCTAAAACCATTAACCATTAACCTTTAATTGCATCAAAGAAAACATATAAATAAATGTAAGAAATCTATTGTCGTTTCATTTGTTTGACAACAGCGGTCGCAACTAAACGCTATTGACGTTTTGGTTCAAGTAACGGAGTTATAATGTGTTTGTATGCATTAAAATAATAAGAAAACCACGCGATAGTATTACTATATTATTATAGATCCTGTTAATATTTATTAAACATTTTCACTGCGTTACACAGACTGTCTAAGCATAACAATCCGCACGCACATTGCCCGTAAGTATTTTTATTGTTATTATACATATTATACAATTTTTTTATTAATAATTATTATTGTGTCTTGTTTACGATATCTAAATTTTTAAAATTATACTCTCGTCTCAGTTTTGCATTTAGAGTCTACACGAGATGGTGTACGTAGAACATTGTGCTTTAAATGTTTCTCATAATAAATAATAACAACAACAATTTAAAAAACTGTGGCCCCGGTTGATCTGTAAACAAAACTACACTCGAGGTACTTGAACTTTACGTCGTACCCCTCTACTATAAATTGCCCAGCACGAAATCGGTAAGTAAGAATAAACATTAGAAAAAATTCGTTGCCCATCAGTAGTAGTCGGTAGTAGGACGTACTTACAACTAGCTCTGATAATAATATAATATTCTTACACCCGAGTATGATAACCTTGGAGACAAACGGTCGGTAGTTTAAAACAATTACAAGCTAATATAATTTGATTGTGTGGCGCCTATGAAATCGACATTATACCGCTATTAAGCCAATTAAATAATGCCCATATTTATAATGATTACACAACAAAACCGACTACCATTGTTATTAGACTCGCGTGTCTTCTGCATCGTATTTGTTTTGTTAAATCGACTAATTGTATTACCATATATATAAGATGACTGTCTCACTTGTGAAAAAGCCAATGTTCAAATAAAAAAACACTGATTTTGATCAGTATCTATGTACTGATATACATATTCTTAGGATCTACCAAATTTTACATATATATTTTCTGAGTTTTGATTGAAATCAGATATTTGTATAAATGTTTATTTAGCTCATAAATAATGCAAAGCTGAGAAGATATTTTTTAAATTCATACTAATAATATTAATAGCAAAGTTCATAAAACTTGTTAAATCGAGTAATTTATTAAAATGTAATAGACCAATTAGGTGACATTTAAATGATGTTTAATGCACCACTAAATGTTCGGAGATAGAAAATTTGCTAAACACCTAATGAGCGTTCATGCAACCCGGACTCAATAAATATACCAGCATTTCATTAGTAGATAACCTTTTTAACGATTTCAATCATAGTTACCTATTTATTTTAGAGTTTATGATTGTTAAATCTATAACTTTTTTCGCCTACTCTCCTGGATTCACATCTTATGCTACATGATTACTAAAGGGTATGTTATAATATTAAATGTATTGCTGCACCATAGTAATACTATTGTTGAGTAGGTACCAAGAAAAAAACTGAGAAACCTTGTATTCGGTCAAATAAGATTTTTTTTTTTTTTACCTTAAGGTATGACTCAAGTGACGAATTTTTTTTTGTGTGCATGCGTTATATTTTTTGCGAGCGAGCGCGTCCAGGTGTTTGTTTAACACCGAAATTCAAACAAATCTAAATCGGTTCCTTGTTATTGTTTTGCGGTACAACAAAATAATACAGAGGATAATGTTATTATTGCGCGTGCACGTCTTGTAGGCCGCGTCGACGACCGTCACCTCAGTAATGTTGTAAGAGCCGTCCGAAAATGTCGAATCGTCCGGACGCGATCGCGCGTCATCGCCGTTCAATCGCCGCCGTTTTTGTCGCTATCTTTGCTGTATGGTCATCGGCCGTGATAGGGTCCCATATTACGGCGGCAGCGGCCACTGCAACGGCCGTCGACAATGACACAGATGCAGGGCCCAGCACGAAGTCGATGTCCGGAGTGCGCGTGATAAGGGACGCGACGGCGGCCGCGGCCACAGTCACGCAGGTGGTCGACGGCACGGGCGGCGAACACATCCATCACCGTCAGTTCCTGGTAATCGACGGCAACGGATCGTGTCCCGTCACCACGAATCAGACGGTCAGAGCGCAGCACCTGTTGGAAAACACGGCCGATTCGATCACCAAGTTCTTACCGTTCATCATGTCGTCCGGCCAGCAAACGCAGTGCTACAAGCATACGGTCATGTACCTGAATGATCTCAACGACTTCAAATTGTGGGCCACCAAAAGTGAGTGCATGTAGTAAAACGTTAGCGTAGTTAAGTAATATTAAGAAACTTCTCCTACATACTTTTTATCAAACTCTGTATACTAACGCAAAACATTTGACATATTTGTACATTATCAATACACTCGTATACATATACAAATATTAGCTTCGATGCTAGACAATCAACAATGGTAATCTAATAATATTATGTAATAAAGGGGCAGGTATAAAAACAATTTAAATGGTTCAGAATTCTTACAATAATACTTACAAGTAACTCAAAATACAAATTTTAAATTTTCATATAAATTTCCGTTGAAATAATAAAACAACTTAGCTCTTAGAAGTAATGCAATAATAAGAAAATGAGAGATAAGCGATATTGTGCATAAAAGGAAAGAAAATTAAAGACTATTTTGTCAACGACGAGAAATCACAACAAAAGAATTATAACAAGTTGCTTATCACGTCTTTTCCTCGCACGTTGTAAATGAAAGAAAAGGGTTGAATTCAGGAAGATGTAAAATGGTTCATTAGGAAGAAGATTATGATTGTTAATTAATTAAATAACGTGATAAAGAAGGAAATGTATATCAACAGACAAGCTTTCCTCCTCCATATTCATTTAATGTAACTAAAATGTAAATAATAATATTACAGTCACCACGATTTTACATACTTCACATTCACATAATATATAGTTATAGTAGTGGCGTAGCCAGGAATTCACTTTACTTCAAGCAGTCGGCAGATAATGTAAGGATTTAGAGGAGCCAACATTTAACTTTTTGTTACACATCTATAACACGAAATTTGTAAGACAGCGTTTTTCTATACTTTTAATTATTGAGAATCAATTAAATGCTTTGTTAGAAGATATGTATGAAGGAGCGGGCCGAGACGTGTTAAGAGATAAATTTGAGTAAAGGAAGAATATATTGGAGAAAAAATCACTTATGTATTAAAGTAGCTCTAACACTATGTATTTAGAGTAAACGTATAGTAATACGATAGTAATTAGAAGGAGAGACGTTGTTGGACTTAAAAGACAAGTAGTAAATAAAGAAGAGAAATTTAAATAATTGGGAAGTTTGATTGGAGTAGGTGAAAAAAGGCATCAGGAGTATTGAGTGACAAAAAGGCATCATTAAGAGTAAAAGGAAAAAGAAAGTAGCTGAATTTTAAGATAGCTATACGAGTGGGATATAATTACAACTAAGGACTAAAGGGTAGTTTGGGAGTTGCGCCATTAACAGACATTTTCAAAGAATATTAATTGAAATAGTAAATCTATATAAAAAAAAATTACACGTTATGAGTAACATCCTAAATCTACCTATAGTCTTAATTTCCAACCTTAAGATGGGACGTTAGAGCATGTTGTATTGTTTAGTTAAAAATAATGTCAAGTTTGAGGGTATTGTTCTCGCTTTTGATGGGATGGTTAGTTAACCTCTTAACCCGTCCCTTAAAAGTACCTTTGGTGAACAACTTTTCATCCGTGACTGTAAAAAATCCTTTAAAAAAAAAAAACTGAGTCTAGTAGTTAAAAAAATGCATTACATATTGTTATTTGGTCGTTCGTAATGCTTCTAAAATGTTTTAATTTCTCTAACACATTCCGTAATGTGATTATGAATTACATAAAAAATCAATCAAGACAATCGATTGTATGTACCATGTACTACTAAACCATGTACTACTATATCTCAACGAAGAGATTTCAAAATAACACAAATGTTTTAAAATGTTTTTACAAATAACACTTTCCATTGTTTAACGAATTACTGGTAAACGTAGAAAAGTCGACGGATCTATTATGTTTATGTTTTGCATTGCAGTGTTTGACGCATCTGCAAAATTTCTATCGCCTGGTTGGATGACCGGAAACACTTATAACCTTGGAAATTACGACGAGTGCGTTAACATAGAAACGTTCATAAACAGCGAATACATTCAGGGCCAATACTGTTTGGCCGAAATTGAAATCAATCCCTTGGTCAACGTCAAGTACAAGCCAACAAGTTATACGCCATACAACGAATCAGCATGGGGCACAGTTTTAGTAAGTTAGTCAAAATCACATAGCAGGCATAAGCGTTAAAATGATCTGTAGGTATGATAATGCGATTTCTGGTCTTGGGCTTTTTTTTTTTTATAGAACTGCTATATTTTTGGAGAAACGCAATTATTTCTATGCGGTAACTTAAATGATGAATTAAAATTTAGGTTAATATATCCCGCATAAATTGTACAGTCGTTATTACAACAGAGAAGTCAAGGGATACATAAAATTTACTATTTAGACTTTTTCACTTTCACCCTAACCACAGCTTTACTGTTTATACTTCACAAATCAGTAATAGGTAGTGTAACAGTGAATACTAATAATATAAGATTTGTATTGACCCAAAACCGTGAAAATATAAAATATCATAACAAAATTTCGTATCATTATAAAATGATAATAACTTAAATCACAAGACGTACACGTTTTAATTCTTATTAAGGTTATTACTACTTGAAAACGTCTCAATCGAGTCATAGGTTAGCTTTAAATATGATTAATTTTTTTCTTTTTTAGGAATTGGCTTTTGATCCAAACAAAAGCATGCGAAATCGTATCTACTTGGCGCAATGTATACCACACACTTGTTCTAGCAAAAACGTTTTTGAACACATTGAAGGTATTCTTAAAGAATTCCCTCAAACCCAAGTAACAACATCGGTGGGAGCCATCAAGTGTCAAACCAAAAGCGTTGTGCCGTGGACTTTGGGAGCTTTTATATTTTTGTACGTATCAAAGTCATAATTAAGCTCACTAATTAAACTGTTACCGCCGCGATGACCTCGTTTTCCCTAAATTAAATAATAATACTCAAGGAATTCTGTATACTTTCCATAACGACCTTAACTTATAAACACCGGTATACTATTGTTATGCTTAATTTGTGCCGTTCGAGATAAGTAATTCCAATAAACATAATATTTACTAATAGATGTATTTTTTTTTTTTTGGCCTCGTTGCCGTTTGGTGTATTAGTTGGATATTGATAAATAAGGTTTTTTCTTTACAGGACAATTGTTGGGTTCTCTTTGGTTTTGACTTTCGTGAGCACTTGTTACGATCTGTTCACGTCCATGTCTTCGTTCGAAGAATTCCAATTTCCCGGTAAGTAAACTTTAAAAACAAATTGTCAATCAAAAAAAAAAAAAAAATTAAACCTGTTTTTTTCTTTTAGAAAAGTCTAAAAAGCACCAGATCCTTCAGTCGTTTTCACTGTCGAGAAACGTACGCAAACTGCTGACTTTCCCGAAAACGTCGGACAATCTTGAATGCATACATGGTTTGAAGTTTATATCGACTTGCTTCATTATTGTCGGCCATCGTTTTATGTTTTCTTTGGGCGCACCTGTCATGAACACCGATTTTGTCGAATCCGTAAGTGTACTGATTTTTTTTTTTTGGAATACAGTGATGTTTTAGGTTACTTTTTCTGAATTATATTTCTCTATAAAATAAAATAATTCACTTTTATTTTGTACATGTAAATTATTTATCTTACCGGCGTACGGCTCCGGAAATTAACTGTAAAATATTAATATTTCTGAATACTTACAAAATATGTATGTGGAACTTATGCGTAGCTGAAAGTATATTATGTTGGAATAACTGTAAGCCGCAAAATGATGTCGATATTCTAAAACTGTACCTACCTCTACCACGCCAGAACGATAATGATAATTATTAACAAATATTATTAAAATCAGTTTTACAGTAAACTCGAAGCCATGGTCATTCTCAACGGACCAATTTTAGTAGACACGTTCTTCATTATAAGCGGCTTTCTCGCTTGTTATTTGTTACTGGAACACATTCAAAAGAACCCGAAAACTTTCCAGATACCGCTCTTCTATTTTCACCGCTACGTCAGGTACACGTGGCTGCCATATTGTAACTTAACAGTATAATTTAGATACCTATCACTTTTTTAGTTTTTTAAAACATTCTACAAATGATTTCGATTACAGGTTGACCCCCGTGTACGCCATCGTCATAGCGTTTTATTGCACTATCTTGATCCGGGTCGGATCCGGACCATTGTGGGCGGAAAAAGTGGCCGCTGAAGTCGACCGGTGTCAATTGAGTTGGTGGACCAACATATTGTACATTAACAACTACATAGGCTCGGACAAATTGGTAAAATTACTCGGTTTATGGCTTTAACGCAACACCAGCGGCTCTCTTGTGCATTGTTGATTTTAATACAAATTTCCCTGTGCAGTGCATGATACAGTCCTGGTACATTGCGTGTGACACCCACTTGTTCTTGACCGCGCCGATCATCGTCAGCTTGTTGTACCACAAACCCAAGTTGGGCAGATTTGTGCTGCTCCTAATATTGGTCGTGTCGATTGCCACCACGTTCTTCGTCACGTACTCGGGCAAACTGGACGCGTTCCTCTTGGTCCACATCAAAATACTCAGGGATCCGATTGCCAACAAAACTTTCCGAAACCTGTACATACCCACGCACACAAGAGCCACGCCTTACTACATCGGTATGATAACCGGGCTCGTGCGTCACAAAATGAAGCACACGTCATACAAAATGAACAAAGTAATTGAAATATTATCCTGTTTACGTAACCGGGAAATTGAGATTTGCAGCCAACTCCTCCCTCCCCAAGAGGCGGCGGCAATACCTCTACGTGGACTGCTAAAGCCGTTTCCGATTTTGATACTTAACCTTAACCAGATTTTGATTTTTCTTCTTCTCCCTCGTTGCTTTTCCCAACTATTCGACACAAACCGTACCTACCAGCTATTAAACACCTATAACACGGCTCGATTGAAAACTAGACCCGAAATTAAAATTTTAAAAATATCCAAAATCTAATGCACGCCTTGAAGTTTTAGATAAATTATTTCGCCAGAATTTTATCTTTTTAGTTCATTCCCTATTCAAAAATCAAATCCCCCTGAGACATATTATGTTTTATGTCTTATTCAAAACTATGTCATCTCTAATATTGTTAACTGTTTTGTAGAATTGATTTTAAATTAATAGTTATCAACTTAAGTTAGGTTATCTAACCTACTATTTCATCGCCACTCCTACCTACCCTGTCGTTCAGCCACAGTATTATCTATCATAATATAGTAGTATCGTGTATATAGGTAGGTACAAACTGTCTTGACTAACTGTTTTTTTTGCAGTACATGGTATGGATCAATTGGATCTTGGCGATAATCCTCATGTCCGGCACGCTGTTCTCCGCCTGGTGGTTTTACAAGCCGGATTACACGTATGACGCGTTCGTTGCCGCCCTGTACGGCGCTTTATACCGGACAACGTGGGCAACTGGAGTGAGTTGGACGATTATAGCCGTGTCCACCGGTAACGGAAGTAAGCGCTAAACAACGATTCGTTTCCTTTTTAAAAACCTAAAATACTATAATATAGTCTATTCATTATCGTTGTTAATAATTTTTTAGGTTTCATCGAGCCGCTCTTGTGTTGGAAGCCAGTCATAACGTTGAGTCGGTTGACCTATTGCGCGTTCTTGTGTCACGGAGGTCTACAGCTATACGCGACCGGAAGCATCAGAGCGCCGTTCTACGCCTCGTGTTTTAACCTGGCAAGAGATTGACAAATAAATATAGTTCATATTCATATCAATTGCAATAAAAAGTGTACAAAATAATAGGTGATAGAAGTGAAAAATAAAAAAATAGAAAATACCCAGGGAGCGGAGTGAATTTGACGACATTTTCTTGTTTAGGGACAAGCCTGCAGCAGCTTATAAATGTCCAACTAACACTTCGTTTTGATTCAAACATCTTTCACTAAGTTATAGCATGTAAATGTCAAAATTAGAAAAATTTGTAATCTTTTTGAATTTAGCGTTTTTGAGGGGAAATTGTGTTTTTTTACTTTTGGACACACAAGGCCCTTCCAAACACGATTTCTGTTGGAATAGTTGCTACTTGAGTATATTAATCCAACAGTCAGCTGTTCTAAAACTCCAGTGGGTATACAAAAAAAAAAATACTTTCTCAACTTCGCATCGGTCCTCTTACTCTTTGATCGAACACTGCAATATTACTATATAAGAACTATTATATGTCTTACACACATTAACCCAAGAATGTCATGTTTTTAGGTTTGGTCGTGCATGGGAGACATAACATTATCGTTTTTGACGGCGTTTGGTTTGACATTACTCTACGAATCTCCAATCCTTGGTCTAGCAAAAATTGTTTTCAGTAAAGGTTTGTGCTATTAATCATTGTTAATCAAACCGTAATTTCACTCTATTTTTTAGTTCCAGAAGACAAACCTCACTATGAAAAAAATATTAAAACTGCTAAAATCACAGACCTGAGAGAAAAAACAGATAAACTGCAACAAGCCAATGACAGGCCTTTGGTATGAAAAATAATTTCTCTTCACTCGAATTGTTTGTAAAATTCTTAGTAGATATAATATTATGTACTTATTACTTATAGGTATTGCTATTGTTTTTATATTTTTTATATGTTAAATGTAATAAAAATGTATAATTTTATAAATACAATTTTTTTAGCTGTAATCTTATTTTTACTCAATAAATGCAATATTTGTTTTTACTATTCCTTTACTCATAAGCTGTATATCTTGTAGTCGTAGATTAGATAACAACGTTTTTGTCAATACATATCAATTATAACGAATCGTTATAAAAAATATAAAAAATAGTTTTACTCTATTGTGTTTAGTGTGCTTAAAGAAGACTAAAGAGTAACGATTTTGAAAATAGTTTACACTTTGACATAATAATAGAAGTTAATTAAATGATAATTAGTATGTTAGTCCCATATAACAACAATAAAAATGATTGTTATACATGCTATAATACAAAATAAAAATAGGTTAATAAGATGTAAGGTTATTAAATTTTAATTTAGCTGTACAATTATTTGACTAATAAATGTAGATACATCTATCCAGACAACATTTTTAAAATCATGTTCTTAAAATGTTTTAATTAAATACTAACAAAATTTCTGTCTCCAAAACTCACACACATGATTATGATAAACTTAGCTAAAATGTTTTCACAGTTAAATTAAACAACATATTTAACACCACATTATTGTAGGATAATAAATAACTAATAAAATATTACAAGGGGTAAAACGACAGGTTTAAAAGATTTTAATCAAATCAATAACTATACAAAATGTATCCTTTACTAATCGTATATTTCGAGTAAACCAAAAATAAATGGTACAATGAATAAAATAGTCTTATTGTATAAGTCAAACCTTATCATAAAATTACTAATTTGATGCGATCTTTTGGAAATACCAAGCAATCATAAGTAAAAAAAAAATGTACATAAATTATTGTTAAAAAAAAAAAAAAGGATTATGATTATTTCTGCATTTTATTATTGACAGAAAATACATATTAAATGTAGGGTATTATTAAATTGGGGGCCATGCTATGAGTTCAATATATTGAACTCGAATCATCAACTTTGTTACAACTTAGGAATGTGAAGTACGACGTTGTCTCGGCGAGTAGCTCCTTGAACGTGAGCGAGAAGGTGGTGCACGCCGCTTGGGTGAACGAGATCGTGACCTAGAATCATTTTTAACACTATTTAGTATTTTACTACATTACATAGCATTGTCATTTACACTAACTATTTCATCAACGGGAGGAGATTATTATAATACTCACTTGATACGGCCCAACAGCTCCTAATTTACCTTTATATATTTACCTTAGACAACGGTTTTAAAAAACAAAACAAAAACTAAATACCTTGTACACGTACAACTCTGTTTTCAATGAAAGATTAAATAACACCATATGTTGTTTAGATGGAGAGTGTGAGTGGAGACGTTAAAACAGCCAATAAAGCATACGAGTGCTTGTGAAGAGTTGATCGTAGGGCAGAGACGATGAAAGAATAGTTGGTAGAATAGCGTAGAATAAGCTGAATCCGCACGCGTGATGTTAAATAACACGTTACAGTAATTCAATTTTGTAGAATTGATGGAGCGAGCGAAGTACGGAAATTGATGGTCTAGTCATTTTTTCATTGACCGAGGTTTTTTTTTTTTAACATGGGATGATTAATTTTTTAGTATGGGCGAAAACCAATGATCCTTTTCCTGTAAATTATCCCAAAAATAAATAAGATCTTATTAAACCCATTCAGGAAAATATTTAAACAATAAAATATACAATTAACGAACATGTAGGACTTGGCAAAAATAAATATACAGCCATTTGACATTTTTTTGAATGCGTTAGTACATAACTGAGCGATTAATAAGAATTTAAGTTTTAATAATGTTTTCGTAAAAGAGAAGAGTAAACTCATAAAGGTAACCTAGAAAGCCTATAAGCAGCCATTTTTTTAGGTAATAATTCATTTTAGAAACCAATTTGCTTATTTTTATTTTTTCAAAGTTGCTAGCCAATATTTTGTAAAAAAATTGTAAATGATTCTTTATACAACATTATAAGCACAAAAATGTTGATAGAAGAAGATACAAAAATGACAAGGTTATTTAATTTAAAAAACTTTCATACTAAAATTTCAAAGTTATTTATAAGACCTTCGGACGAAAAAAATTCAGGATTAATTAATAAGCTTATACTGTATAATATGTCATGACTGAAGCAGTCATCCAAAGTTATCCAAAAGGTTTGGTTTAATATATTAATTTAAAAAGTCAGTTAAACAAATTACATTTTAACCAGATCTAAAAGGACACTGCTATGGTCATATTGTGACAAACTGTGTTTATGAAAAATAAATTTAAATACAATTTTCTAATTAAATATTACACATATTAAGTTCAAATATTGAATACTATTAAATTATTGTCAGATTATTTTAATTAAATATTACCTGTCATTGTATCGTGGAGGTCCTCTATTGTAACCACCCCCACCACCGCCGCCGCCTCCTCCTCCTCCTCCTCTGCGATCACCACCATTACGTCCGTCTCGCCCTCCACGTGGTCTATTACTAGACATTTCAACACGTACGCGAACACCACAGATACGGCTAAATAAATCATTTTTAAAAATATGGTTGTAAATATTTTAAAACAACTATGAATTTTGTCAAAATAACCAACTAAGCACAAATACTTACGTCCCATCAAGTCCCCTGACTGCATCTTCTGCATCTCTTGGATCCTCAAATTCTACAAAAGCAAAACCGGGAGGGTTTCTTGCAATCCATGTGTTCTTTAATGGACCGTATTTTGTAAATGAAGCTTCAATTTCATGTTTAGTACCGTTCTGACCCAAATTCCCAATGTACACTTTACACGACTGATCCCAATCACGATGAGACATAATGACTTACAAAAATGTTCGCTGAAAAATAATTGTTTAAACATTAATAGGTAGGTAGCCGCCAACTTAGGAGATCTAGTTATCAGTTACTACAAAAAAAGTATATTAATATATAATTAAAAAAGAAAAATCAATTTATCAATGCGTTTTTAAGTGATACAAATAAAGAGAAGAGACTATAATTTCAACATTTCTTAAAAGTTTAAGCAAATATATACGAGCTTAAGCCCCGGGCTATGTGGTTATGTGAATATAAAATAATATGGTACCCTGGAGTAGCCTCCTCTGTGTTATAGTGTATAGCTCGTTGATATCTATTACGAGCTATGACTAGCTACGACTATGATCCGAGTGCAGAATTCTACACAGTTATTTCACATTTAATAATATGTCGATTCAGTAACCCGAGTACTCACGTTTATATTATTTTCAACAGCGGTCGGCGAATTACGCAGTTAGGTACAGTACTACAATTCACAAAATATATTATGGCGATTAGTTATGAAGTACACAAACACAAGATATTTTACTTGTGACTAATAAAAGGTCAGGACAACGTCCAACGAGCAACAACAACGAGACGTCCGTAATGGACGAACAGCTCACGCAAAACAAGAGGTCGATACGATTGAAACAATTTATACAAGCACGTCAAGAACACCGCACGGACGACGGCGATAAAGGTGCAAGAGAGATGGAAAATGTAAACAAAATGGATGTCGACCCAAGTCCCCGGGACCGGACGCCGCAGCGGCTTGCGACGTTGTCAGTCCATCGCCGGTATGGAAGCGAAAATACTAAATGTGCACCACTTGGCAACGTTCGACGTTATAAAATGATCAATTTTAAATTCCAGCGGTTCCACGTAAATCGGCAAATCGCAAACGTCAGCGGCCAGCGGTTAGGACTTCGGACTTAGGAAAACAAATAATTTCAATAATAAAAATTCAGATTCTATCGTTTACACATTATTTCCTGACTCCTGTATACAATAATACATTGTAAAAACGATTTATCCGTAGCCAGTTGGTTTAAAAATATGGCAAGACCAATATCTACTCTTCTATAATAATATGTCCTATCCCGTTAGCTAAAGTAATAATTGTATTCGATACTGTTGTATTTTTTATTTTAGAATATTTAATTTCGTACTCCGGAGGCGAGTATCTGTGCTCATGTGGTTACATAAGTCTACGAATAATAAGTAGAAAATGTCTGAACGGTAATAATAATACGGCGTCAAATGCTGACAATGAATAATGTTTAGTACCTACCTAAAATATTATACAACAATCTCATAAAAATTCGTAAACTCGACCAATAATTTAACATACTTAATATATTTTATGCAGCGCTTTATAACCATATATTTATTAGATTACCAATACGTATGTTTTTTAAACGCACACCTTACAGCCTGTATGTAGACTGGCGACTGCAGACGCACCTGTTGACTGTTTAGTGTAATATTGTTAGTTATGTCTGGCTGTCGATTAAAACCATTTATTAAAATTCCAGAACCCAAAACATGGCCTTTAATTGGCCATACTTACTTGTTTCTTCCTGTGATTGGTAAGGATTTCTGTATCATTTGTAATTTTCAATTTATCTTTTTTTTATGTACTGGTTTATAATTATTAATTTCTGAATTTATTTTTCAGGACCTTACAGCAGCGAACGTCTGACCGAAGCAATTGGTCATTTAGAATGCAACCTTGGTTCAGTGTTCAAACTTATATTGGGTGGTCGCACAATGGTAGTTACAACTAGGGCCGATGATGCCAAGACTATGTTTACCAACGAGGGTAAGACTCCTGTGAGACCTGGATTCCCAGCATTAAATATACTGAGACAGAAGCTTTTCAACACTGGAGGATTAATATCAGAGTTAGCAACTATTTTGTATATTAAAAATAACATGTCTTTATGTTGAAATCATAATGACCAAGTAGGTGATTTAAACATTAAATAAATACTTGGCAGAGTATTATGGCGTGTCTGTGTATTTTTTAATTTTTACAGTCACAATCTAAGGGTCAAGGTTTAAATGAAATGTAAATATTTACATTGTAGCGTTTAATTTTTTTTCTTATTGTTTAACATTGCTATTTATTAAACATTTTTTTGAAAAACTAGATGTTATAGTTCTTTAAATACAATCCATGTAAATTGAAACCAATTTAACTAAGTACTACTAAATTTAAAACAAGGAACTGTCCACTAGACACGTACATTGTAATAATACTAAGAAAAATATTTGAGTTCTCTATTCAATCAAAATCATCAATTTAAATCACTTACATTATGTTACATTATGATTTCCACAAAAATGTCATGCCTATTAAAGCTTGATATATATATATATATATATATATATATATTTATATATATATATTTTAAACCAGTAAAATCTTTGACCGTTAAAAAAAAAAAAAAATTATTTATTTACAGGAATGGTGCTGAATGGTATAGACTTAGGAAAGCTTTAGCTCCATTACAAACAAAACAAATTTATGAAAGTTACGCTTCTAAACATCATGAAGTTGCAGTGGATTTTATAGATTATATAAAGAAAAATCGTAACAATGACAACAGTTTACAAGATGTGTTTTATCATATGATTAAATTTTCTATTGATGGTACTTAATATAAACATTACTAGATTAAACATTAACTATATACCCATAAATATTTTTTTATCTAGCAATATCTGTAGTATCCCCTGGCTCGAGAATAAAATGTTCAAATACATATGCTTCAGAACATATGGCAGAAGCAGGCATTGACTTTATGGAAGGCTTATACCGTAGTTTAATGGAGCCACCAATCTGGAATTTTTATAAAACAAAAGCATATACAAAATTAGAACGTTCACATTCCGTTGTATTGAAGTAGTACATTTTATTCTAAAGACAAGTCTACTATGATGTTGTTAACGATATAGCTTATACATTTATTTTCGTTTTTAGTTTTATTAATAAATGTTTAAAACAAAACAACAATGAGAACAACAATTTAATCGATGCAATGTGCAACAATACAAAAATATCAAATCTTGATATTAAACTTCTCTTATTGGAAGTTTTCTTTGGTGGAATAGATGCGGTTTATAACTCATTTTTATATTATACTTTATAGTTATTGATAATATAATTTTAAGCATTTAAAACAAGAATAACATAATTACTTTGTAGACGGCAACTACTTTAACAATGACAATGTACTACTTATCTCAAAATCAAGAGTTACAACAAGCTTGTCGAGATGATGCAGAAAGAGGCACCAAGTCATTTCTTACAGCTTGCATCAAAGAAACACTGAGGTTGTCCCCTACTGGAGGAGCAAATTCTCGAATTTTATCTAACAAAGTGGTTATTGGACAGTATGAAATTCCACCAAATGTAATTATCTTAGTAATAATATGTACCAACTATAAGTTAATATCTTCAACGGCAGTGTCCGTTGTAAGTTTAATTCTCTTAAGCCATGGCAGACACCGGTGTCCGTCTGAAAACTGATAGGTAATATAAAATGATGATTAGATCATTTAAAAAACACCGGTGTCCGCTGAGGAGCTAAACTTGTCAATTACCATACTTATATGTATTATATGTCTACATTTTTATGAACACATTTAGGTATAGAATCTTATATATATATTATTTCATTGAAATTCTGGCCAACTTAATCCATAAATATGTGTTTGTATTTATATAGATATTGGTAATGGCGTTCAATTCATTAACATCAATCAGTAAAGAGTACTTTGATGATCCATTAAAATATAGACCACAAAGGTGGCTAAGAACATCAGGTGTTAGCAAATTTCATCCTTATGCGTCTTTACCATTTGGCCATGGCCCTAGAATGTGCCCAGGACGTAGTCTAGCTATGCAGGAAATGACAACACTCTTATCCGAGGTAATATCAAATCATAGCGAGTTGCAGTGGAGTAGGTCGTAGCCTGTGGGGTATACGCTGTGTGTACTCTTACAACTACACCGCTCGTTGGTAGTTTCTGTATTAATTCTTACGTTTGTTTTTAGATATTTAAGAATTTCAACCTTTGTACCAAAAATACTAAAAAAGTCAACATGATTTATCGTATGAACAGAATACCGGACAGAAAAATAAACATAATATTTAATGATAAATAAAATCATATTTTATATGAAAAACATTTATTAATTTTTATCTCTTAACAATTTTCAACATTTGTGAAATAAAAATGTATCGCTAAATATAAAGCGAGTGCTACTATAAGTGGTATATTTTTTTTATCTTATGTACAGTTTTAATTACATTTTGTATATCAAAATTCTTCTTATATTATATAATGAAAAAAAAAGTTTTTCAACATCTTCCCATAATTAAGGCATTATGGATATTATTTACATAATGAATGTACAATATACGATTTAGAGAATTATTATGATTACCTAAAATAAAAATATTTACAAACACTATACGTAGTGTATATAAATATTATATATTTTAATAGTGATTATATTGATTTACTATAATGGTCATTTTTGAAATTGTACATGAACATTATGCCATTTCAAAATAAATAACATGACAAAAATCACAAATAAAAAATAAATAATAATATAGGCATTGTTTACAATTGGTTTTCTTTTGATGCTATATTTAGAATGATATTATTATTTCAAAAAATGACAGATGAGATCAATGTGAGAACTATATCTTGTCACAAAGTAAATACAAGAATATTAATTTCCTCTAATATATATAATATAAACTTAAAAATTAAATTAATAAGTAATAACAATTAATAATAATAATTACAATTGTTATTTTAGAGAAAAGATGACTTCTCAAATTAAGAACATGTATTACAATTATACTAAATAATAAGTGATACTGATTCGTCAAAAAAAAAAATATTGTAATAATAATAACAACTTTAAATGTTCAAAAAAATAACTCACTAATTGTTTACTTTAACATTTTTGTGATTCAGTGATGAATATACTGAAACTAATTACTTATTAGCATACTATATAATACTATATTTAGTTTGGTTAATATCAACTTAAAACAGGATAATTGCAGACAACCCGCACATAAGGAAAATAATTTTAAAAAATAACAAAAAATATAATATTAGACTTGTTAATAATGATTACTCCATAGTTGTCAATGAAAGAAATACCGCACAATTCAAAAACTTAAGAGTAGACTAAAAATAACATTATCAACTAATACAAAAAAAACTACAAAATATAATAAAACTATTCGTCAACAAAACTATGATTTTAAGTCGTTATAATATCTTATCAAAAATTAATTATAATTTATAAATGTAACAAAAAAGAAGAAAGAAATAGATTTAAAAAAAAATATACATATATATAATATATGTATAAAACAAATTGCACTTGTTATTAAAGTTTTTTTAGTAAGCAGTAATATTTTGAATTATAATATAATACAATACTTTTAATATAAGGAAATAATTTCAGATGAAACCAGTTTTATATCAATATAATTTTTCTTTATTGGAAGACTATTTGAAATAGTGTATGCGTTTTTATTAAAGGTACAATAATTTAGTCAAAAGCAATTATAACAAATAGTATGTTGTAAGGAAATAAAACTCAAGTCTAAATAACGACAGATACACAGAGAAGATAAAAAAATTGCCTACATGTTTAATAACAACTTAAAAATGTGTTGGTAAACATAGTTTTTAAAACAAATTAATAAATAAAACAAATTATTTATAAATAATAAAAGCAGGTTCGTTCTCTTTTGTAAAACTAAAATAAAAAAAATGCATTTTTTACAAGAAATAGATAAATGTACTACTTTTAACTCTGGGGCAATACATCTAAGTAGTAAGTTTACATCCAAGGCGGATGTCTGTTCATTGGGTCGTGCATATTCAAATACCCTGGTGGAAAACCAGATAGTCCTTGATGTAACATCATTGGATGTCTCTGCAAGAACTGTGAATAAATATCTGATGGGTTCGGATTGTATGCTTCAATTGGTGGAGCGTAGCTCACTGGCGGCCGGGTAAAAGCAGCAAAAGCTGGGTTTCGGTCGCCAGAAGGTTGTGCAGCGGCAGCAGCTGCTGCAGCTGAAGCCGCTTGGTCAGCAAAGTATCCTGTTGATCGCATTTCATTTAGATAATTTTGATAACCATCTTTAATGCTAGGATTAAAGTTAAATGGTCCAGTTGACATAGGTGGTTTCACAAGTGGTTGATAATGATGTGGATAAGTGGGGTTGCCACGTGGGGGATCAATAGGTCGAGCAGGTTCAGGTGGTTGCTGAACAACGGCGGCAGCAGTTTTTTTCTTTCTGCCTGGCTTTTTTGTTGTTTTTGGCGGTGGAGCCTGTTCTATTATCATAGATCTGTTTAATTCCATTTTAGATTTAGTCATGTCAGCTACTAAAGGACTTGAATACGTAGGTTGAGAGACTTTCATCATATCTGCCATGACCGGACCAGCATATGTGGTTTGATTTACTTTTATCATTTCGGCCATAGATGGACTAGAGTACGTAGGTTGATTTATGTCCATTTTACTATTCTTCATCATTTCTGCAACAGACAGGCCAGTGTAGGTTGGTTGATTATACCGGTAGTCCATGTTTGAAGGGGGCATGATATTGGGCAATGGTCTTCCAGTAGTGAAATCGATATTTTGCGATTTTCCAGGTATCATATCCTGTATTGGATGAGGATAAGATTTACTGGGTGGTAATACAGGATAGTTATATGGCCTTAAATTGATTTGATCTGAGTATTGTTCATAAGGATTGGTATAATTCAGCCTAGGTTGAGAAGTTGGTTGTCTTAAATTAGGAGGTATAAACTGACCGGGTGTTGTGCGACTCGTATAATTTAGAGGAGCTGTGGTATAACCAAGAGTATCTTTGGAAGGGTTAGAATAATTAAGAGGAGACGATGTATAATGCGGTGCAGACACAAATGTTGGATGATTTTGAGTACTGTAGTTGAACAATGAACTACTTGCCACACTCTTTTGTTCACTTCCAGTTCGATCGTGGGCCATTTGTAAATAGTTAAGACTATTTTGATAACTCACAGGTGGAGGCGGCTGATGTTCTAGATTTTGTTGGTACGGAGTAAGAGGTCGATCATTATGTGGTGGATAGCCCATTGAGTAATTTAAGTCTGAATTAAAATTAGAATTAGGCATTTGCCCAGGAGTGGGTACAAAAATTCGTTCTTGCTCTTTACCAGCAACAGTTGGTGTAAATGCAACTTCTTGAGGTTTCTCACTTTCATTATACACTCGCTTTTTAACTGGGAAAGAATTTTGGATTTTTGGTGATGTGCTTGCTGCTGGCTGCGAGTAAAGCTCAGTGTAAGTGTTTTGAGGAGAATTCTGCGTGCTGATAAACTGAGGATAAACATTTTGATTTTGGTGCTGGTACTCATCGGCTAAACTGACTACTGGCTCTTTAGGACTATTGACTACATTGTGTGGGCTATAATAAGGACTATTACTCGAATCTTGAGGGCTTAGTATCAAATGATGTGGACTTTCTTTAGGACTATTAACAGTATTATTATGTGGACTACAACTGGTTTCATGCGGACTTCCAACAAAATTATTACTAGGACTATCACTGGGTAGTTCTCTTGGGCTGGTAAAAGTATTACGTGGACTTTGTCCATGAGGGCTTGCAGTTAACACACTAGATGGGTTTCGAGGGCTGCAACTACTGCTCTTTTCAGAATTCGGCCTAGCAAAAGCATCTTGATAAAAACCCACTTTCAATGGAGCATGTGGTATGTTCAAAACATTTTGATACGGCTTTAGTTGTTGTGGCGAATTAGCAGGCTGAGGTGATAAATATGGTTCATCGAGACTAGGACGCGGCGAATTCCAAGAATCGTTTTGAGAAGATTGTTCAGATACACTACTACCCGTACTTGTTTTTCTCTGTCTTTTACAAATAGGTTTATCTGGGGATACCAATGGAACAGGTGTAATTTTTTTATCTGCTTGAATTGATGTTTCTTTTTTATCTGAATCTTTTAGAGTATAATCATAAGGCGTTACGTCATTCATTGCGTAAGCCGTGTACACCGGAGAAGTTTCTACTGCTTCCAGTTTACGTTTAGGAGTGGGTTGAGTCTTTGGCGCTCCGAAAGCTTTGAACCAAGCACTGAGATTAGGTGTCGCTTTTTCTGGTTTCTCATCTTTTATTTCTGGTTCTTGCTTCACTTCTTTTTTAATTACATTCAATATTTCTTCAGGACTCTTTAGAAGTTCTTCTTCGGTTTTCACCGAGTCCTTATCCTCATTAGATATTTTTGAAGAAAAGCCCATGAGATCAGTATTTAAAACTGTACCTAAACTGAGTGTCGGCCCAGTTTCTACTTCAGTTTTTATTGTCTTTAGTTTGGCTGTAGTTTGACTATCATCCGGCTTGTTTGAGATCAGATTACCTTTACTTTTACCCGGTTGTAAGCGATCAATTGTTCTTTGAACTTCACGCTTTCGTTTAGCAGGTACTACAACGGGTTCTTTAGCCGATCGTTTTTTTTCCTGAAAAAAAATGAGAATTTTTTTATTACTTAGTAATATTGATTTTATGGTAAAAAATATTATTTAAAACCTACTTTAAAAGGTAATCGAGGTTTATCAATTTTTTGGGCTTGACGAAACTCTGCATCTAAACGGGATGTAACTTCAGCATCATCTAATACTGATCCAGCTAATGTGGCCATAGGTGAATTACTGGCAGAAGAAAGGCTAGGTGTGTCATCTAACCATTTATTTATATCCTATAAAAATAACATTGTTAAAATCAATTTTAATTTTTACACAATTTCAAGTATAATACTAACTCTTAAAGTTTGTTCTGTTACTTCTTCAAGAGCCTGAACTTCCATAGCATTAGTATTTTTTACCATAACACTTTTTTTAATTTTTGCTATATCTTTTGTTGACTTTTTTTTAGACTCTAGCTTAGAATCTAAGCTACATGAATCATCATCGGTTTGATTTAATAAATTGTCAAATTTATTACTAGAAAAATATGAATAAAATTAAAACACGTTAGTAAATTCCACGATTTTTGTTTAGTAAATGTACCTAGAGTCAGAACAATCTCGTAATTTCTCTTCATTTTCTTTGTCTGTGTTATTACATGATCCTTTACTACTGGTACTCCCTTGTCGATTCCTGGATTTTCTTGATCTCATTGTTCCATTTTCATATCTTTTAAGGTACGCCATTTCATCGTCAGATCCATCCGAAAGCTCCCAGTCTAAATATTTGTGAACTCCAATGTTGAATACCCTTTGCAAATTTCCACACATGACTGTATATTCTAAAAGATATTAAACACTTATTAGAATTAGAAAATAAATTTTACCATTATTATTTTACCATTTGTTGACCCGTTATACTGTTTGCAATTGGCTATGATAAGTTGAAAATCATGTTTAAACTGACTAAACGTTTTGTACAGCCCATCATTAAGCTTATCTTCCATTTGTTGGAGATCCATTGGAGTTTTCACTACTCTGTAGTAACTTGGAGCTATTTCTTCATCGACTGGTTCGAGAAATGGCCATGCGTCTTCGTGGTCCTTCAATTTGTTCAAAATTTTATACATGCCAATTTGTAAATCTTCAGTACTGGAACGAAATCTACACAGATAAGGATGAGGTTAATATGATTATATTTCATAAACTAAAAGCAGCAATAAAAAATTAACTCACCCAGTATTTTTTGAGTTTTTTCCTTTGGAAGCTTCAATAACAATCTGACCAGTCGCTGAAGCTAATGAATTGTTTGTTTGGCGTCCAGTTTTTCTAGAACTACTCGATGAATAACCATGGCTTTCAGATTCACTATCCGAATATGGGGCTTCATCTTTAGTTTTTTGCTGTTTTTCTTGATGTTTTTTTTTAACATCTTTTTTTTTTACTTTGTCATGTTCTCGACACAAATCTTCATACTTTTTACGCTCTTCTTTTTGTTGTTTGAGTTTTTCTAATCTGGTAGACTGTCGACGTGGTTGCATTTCCAATAAACGTTTACGTTGAAGTCTCTCTTTTTCTTCAAACAAACGAGGTATTTCTGGCAAAAAGTCTTCTGTGATCACCTGATGCAGAGCTTGAACATCTCTATTGTGAGAGTCTTCTGTTTTCAGAGCTAACCGTTCCCAGTCACTCTCCGTAAAACACACTACTTGCCATTTTCCAGATCCTAAATCTACCTCTTCTTCATCGGTATCTGAAAAAACAGGTTCTCCTTTTTTCTTTCGCCCTCTTTTTTTCTTTTTCTAAAAAAAAATTAAATAAATAACATTCAAGAATTTTAAAACAATTAAAATTAATAATACTCACTTTTTTGTTACGAACCACTTTTTCATAATCTTCTCTATACAAACGAGTGCCATAAAAATACCAGTATGCCGATTTGTTTTCATCGTAACCTAAAGGATGCACTCTTAAGCTGTCAGAGTCAAGATTTTTAAGTGATTCCATAACATCATCGGCATCCAGTCTAAAATCGCACAAGGTGTGGAGTATTTCCACTTTTGTTCGAAGAGGCAGGAATTGGAAGTCAATGTCTGAATTGAAGGGGTTCTGTATAATATATTCCTGATGAAAATAAAACACAATATAATTTTTAATTACTCAACACTTACTCAACACTACTCAACACTTAGTTGGCAATAATTTATAGATCTACTAACCTTGCATTTTTCTCGGAACAATCTACGTAAAAACATTTGATAGTTAAATGTGGAAATGGTGTTGTTGCCGAAACAGCCCGAAAGAAGTCTGGCGATGAGTTCCTGTAACAGTGAGTTGCCATTGTCTTCGGTTCCATCTGTCAATAGTGCTGCTTCAAGATCCTTAAACGATAAATATAATTACATAGAAATAAATAATAAGTAACTAAAGACTTGTAAATTATTTTTTGTACTTACTTCGATATCGAAATCTAGAAGATCAAAAGAAACGCGGAACAGAGAACAGAAGTGAGCAATACTCGGAACTTCCCACCATGAATGGATATCTGAAAATTAAAAAATACATTTTAAATAATAAATTATACTTCTTTATAACCAAGTTACTACCATACAACTTTGTTTTATTTAAAACGGCTTAAACTGTTCTACAGGAATGCAAATAATGAAAATTGTATTAACAGCTTATGACGACCATATTTTTTTGTAATAACCAATATACATATTATCGTAATTCCCTATACATCTCATTTACACGTATATATAATTTTTAAATACATTTTTTTTACTTATTTATACACGCATATAATGAAGGTATTTTATTAAAAGAAATGTAAAAACAAAATAAAGTTACGAAAATAAAAACTTCCATCAACATGTTAGACTTAGAAGTGCATAGTGCCACCTTGTTTTACAGTAAACAACATTATTGAAAAATAGAATATCAATAGAAAAATACAATCCGCAGACTAATAAATTATTTGTCGAAATGAATGACGCGATGTGATAAAATATATGGAAATTATTAAGTACAAACGCTAAAAGAAATAGTAAAAAAAAAAAAAATTAGGGAATACATTTTAATAGAAATTAACCACGTTATAAAAGCTATAGATTTCTTTTACTACACTAATAAAGGCACGAATATAAAAATGTTATATTTTTGTTAGCTTTTATCGAAAAATGGTTTGTAGTTTAATACAAAGGTGGCGTGACGTTTAAGACTGATTTTACTACCTATATTATGATTAAGGAAATACTATAAAAGTGGGAGACATCAGGGAACGCCTAAAACCGGGAGTGACCTCCACGACCACAAACGATAATCGATCTGACAGCTAAGTTATAACTAAAGAAGACACTAGTGTTTTGCGCTGAAGAAAAACAAATATGACCACGGAGTGCTAGGTATTGGCTAACTCGATAAACAGATGTTATACATAAGAGAAGTTTATTTTATTTTATAAATTCGATCGAACATGAGCTATACAAGATGGTAGAAAGTCAAACATTAATACCAGAGCTCAAGAAAAAAACATATAATGCAAAACCGGTGACGCAGAATACAATATTGAATTACCTACACGAATATGATACAATGGCCGTCATCATGAATGCGATTGTTGGTACACACTATTGAAGGGGCGCTCTTAATTCACAGTGTTTTTTTTTTTACTTTAATATTACCTGACTCTTCGCTTTTGAATTCTGTGTTTGGACACAAAAAACACCTTTAGTAAACGAGGAATCCAAAGTTTTTGTAAAATTAAATAAAAACTATACCACTAGCAGTCCATAATCTCCAAAAGGTCACTTATTTTAATTATTTAAAAAACTGTTAGTTCTGTTTCTGTAGTCAATAAATTATATGGTACAATCAAAATATTAAGTAAAATAAATAATATAAATTTCAGTCTCATCTCAACTAATATTATTTGTATTTTTAGTATATTTAAGTATTTTAATTATTTTTTAACTATTATATTATACTATATTATTTGTTTACAACCCTGAGCCAAGCGTACATTTTATACCACATGTGTAATATTAATTTAACAATCATCATTATCTAGCAATATCATCATAATATTATGTTTTGTTATTGTTTATAATTTAATTTTACACATAAAATGTACAATGTAGTTTTTTGGGAGTTTTTAGAAACGCAACAAACGTTTTTTTTTATTAAAAATCCAGCAGGTACACCATATGCTTGTTTAAACCAATAAAAAAAATAACAGATACCTAATTTGAAACAAAGTTTTAAATATAACAATTGCATTTTGTTAATGCCATGCACTCATGTAATTCCGGAAATAGCCACGACTAGTAATGTAAATTACATATTTTTGCTTAAAAAAAATATAATAATTCGGTATAGTTAGTAATAATCGAGTGAGTAAACAATTCGTATTAATAACTCTAAAGATAATAAACAATAGGTATAAAAAAAAGCAAACAACGTTCAGATAAAATTATAAAAACCAGAACAATGCGGAGGAGGACTAGACCAAACTAGTACAAAAAGCTTAATTCCAATTTTGTTTTTAATGTTATAGTAATATTTAAAAAAACTGAATTTGCAACTCACAATACATATTTTGAAATCAATGAAGTACCCACTCACTAGATCTACATTTAATCTAATTTAGAGTCCTTAATTCCTGAAACCCTAGGTTAAATAAATTATGCTAATAACACACTAAATGTTTGACGCTAATTTATTTGAGCAAATATTAATTTTAAATACCTATTAAGTAAAACAAAAATGTGTGAATATCATACATTACCAGTGTTTAAAACCTAATTATTTGTCTCACTAGATTTAGTAAGTTACAACATTTTAAAACTTTTGTGGCCACCCGTCCTTCATATTAGACACATTGCAAGATATAAGTCAAATTCTAAAAATACGGTACTTTGTCCTACTAACTAAATAATTAATAAATAATGATCAATAATTATTAATGTGTATAACATTGTTTGTGTGATACGTCATCTATTTATAACATATAAAATATAATTTACCGGTGACAATCATAAAAAAAACCAACAGAACAGTATATTGTAATCAAGTTATGCAACTTATACAAAATGCTTTTTTGTAGGAACATTTTATTTCATTTTAAACAAAAACTTAAATTTCAGTATGGGTTTTGTCATTTATACTATAAAAAAAAGCAGTTAATCAAAAGGGTCGTATCATGGTAAGAGTATTGAAAAAACTCGGGATACAAATATTTTTTTATTATTATTATTCTGGCGGAAAACAGTTTACCTTTGTAATAAATCGTATCGTTGTGCGGTACTTACATTCATAACAATGTACGGTTTCCATAAATATTCAACTTTCGGTTAAATTATTTGTTTTATTAGTCAGTTTTTATTTTTTTGCACTACAAGACGTGAGGTTTGACTGTCGAATTTGACATCCCGAAAACTCAAAAAAACCCACTGTGTACACTAATACACTGTGTACGATTATGTGTGTGCGACTATAGTTCAAAAATGTTTGAAATTTTTATCATACACTCTTAATAGATCCTTAATGACAAAACGTTTTTTAAAAAAAATGTATTGGAAAATACACAATTTACATAACTATTCAATTTGTTCCTTAATATAACTGTATTAAAATGTAATATTTCATCATACATTCTTTAGAGGTTTTACTGATTAAAAAAATATCAAAAAATACTTCATGTTCCCGACTCAGTAATTTAACCACCGTTATACTACCTCCTAATGAATAAATTTAATAGATGTGTAAATTGTGTATAATTCCAATAAGCGTAAATCGGAAAATTTGAACCCTTACCAGTGATGTTAGAATAATTTCTCTATCACTAAACTTTTACCAGATGTTCTACTCACTTATAAGTAGGCAAGTATTGCGTGAATTTGGAAAGTTTTCGTTTAGTCACATTTGTGTTATGGGTCATTTAAAGTTGGTAGTTTTCAGCAAACCGCCCGTTTAAAACCGTAAATTATTAGTAAAAAAATTTAATTGGTTTAAAGATGATATGGGTCATAAGAACATAACTTAAATTTTTTAAAAATTCCCGAGCTTAAAACATAATTTTTTTTTAAATATAGGTTAAGTACACTTAATTAGAATTTTAACAGTGCAGGTTTCATATCTATACCGTAACGGTAAAAATATCCAGCAAATCGTTACACTGACAATATCTATTAAACAGACAAACTGACCGTAGAGGTTACGTAGATCAGATGAAATTGTATTTCTTTAAGCATGTCTATAAATCAATACAAGTTATTATTATAGTTAATACTCTTTGTCGATAATTATATAATTGGTTAAATGAATAATAATTGAGATGAACGCGATGAACTTTTACTGTTCATATTTTTGTTTAATTAACAAAAAAAAAAACCCCGTATGTAATTATAATAATTTACATCTGTTGAACAATAACGTTTTTTTTTTTATAAACGTAAATATTCAAGTTGTATCTATATTTTTTTTATCGTATAATAATTGCCTATTTATTTCACAGATAAAAGCATTGCATAATTTATATGAATTATTGATAATATAGCATAGGCAGATTCACCTAAAATGTAATTAACGTTAGGCATTAAAACCGATTAGAATGACAAAACCTGACTACGCACATTGAATCCTGTATCGTTTTTTATGTTAACTGAGTGTACCTGTACTGATTTACATGGAAATACATTTGCTTACAACTGTAAAATCAATGGCACACACGCGACTATTGGAAATCGTTAGAAACCGCATTTACTATAAGCATACAAAGAATTGTAAACAATTTATTTATATAAAGTTAAATGCTTTAAAAATGTAGTGCATTTTTAATAAAAAACGAGAAACTAATTGAAATTATTATTTATTAGCTTCGATGCGCAGCTAAAAAGTTATTGTTTATACAATAACGTGTTTTTGTTTTATTTTTTAGTCACGATATATTTTACGCAGCAAAACCGATGTCTTCAAGTAGCAAGTCTATAGAGTAACGAAATACATTTGAAATTAAAACAAAAGTAGATTATCGATAACCTTTTCCCCTAAGAGTGGTAGACAATTTTCCTTTATTTCACTTTTTTAAGTGTACTTAGAACTTAAGGTCTAAATATTAAACTGAACAGCTGTATAGTGGCACTAATAAAGCTTTATATTCAATGTTCTTAAACAAATTTAAAAATATATATTTAAGGCAAAACAATTAATTTGCTGCATTTATACCGAATTATTTTACAGAATTAAACTTGAGTTTAAATAATCATGCAATGATATTTTATTGCAACAATAAACCTTACCTAATGAACATTTTATCTTCTAGAGATTCACAATGGTCAACGAAGCGATTATTTAAAAGTGATAATAAATCCTGAAAATCTCCAACAGCACTGTGCTGTCATTTTTGAATTTACTGTATAAATGTTAATGAACAACCTATTTTTGTTTTTATTGACTTGTTAATATTTTACATTTTTACCAGATTTTTTTTAGTCATTTCTTATATCTGTACTCCAGAACCAGACAAACCTAAGTCCCATTACGTTA